TTTCAATTATGATCTCGTGACATAGATCATGCAGAAACGGGAAACAATTGTGCAAGCTCCGAAGAACCCAGACCTAGAACTCAACCCCAAACCGGAACGAAAAATTCGAGCCTGCGGCTCGCCTCTTGCATCCGTCAGCTCCGCCAGCAGTGCAAGAGCCGGAGTCCAGAAGCTGACGGCCTCCAAAAACGATCCAGGTCTTTGTGGTTCGAAAATGTGGGGGTTTCCAAAAATTAGGGTACCTCATTTTGGGATCCTTATAATAAGGGTCCTACTATTTAGGGTACCATGTTAGGGTCCCCTATTTTCGGAAACCCCCATGTGGGTCTGCACTCGCTTGTGGTAAGGGCTTAGGATTTGCAGGCAAAGAGTTTGGGTCGAGATGTAGGGTTTGAGGTCCACAGGGTGGTCAGGGTGGTGTCAGGTCTGAAAAAAGTCCAGGGCACATCGCAAAGCTTTACACGTTGAACCCTTTTGGCGTCAACATCATCAACTGCCCGATTATTACGCGCATTGCACTACTCCTTCCGTTCTCCCCCCAACCTCGCAAGCAGTGATGGCCTCAGTTGGCGTGCGTGACGAGGTTCGCAATAAGACTTCCGAACTCCGAACAATTGAGCAGCTACTGTTTTGTTGTTCCACACTTTGCCAGGGCAGGCCAAACCTTATCCCGGGCACGCTGTGCAGCTTTTTGGAAATGGGGAGAACTTCAGAGAAGCAGCCTTGGCATGGCAACATCCACACATCAGGCTGCGCAGTGTTTCAAAACTTGCAGGTCAGGATTTCCGAAGCCAGGATTCTGCCCGGAAGGCCCGAACTGAAAAGGATGGGAAGCCCTACACATCCAAGCCGTCCTCGAGTTTTGACTGAGTGGCCGCCGTGTAGGAGATGGCGTTGGCCTTCGCGCAGCCGTCTCTTGAAAGTCATGGACAACCCCGAATCTGACAGAACCAACTCAAGGCCAATAGCTAATATGCATCGAATACGCCATCAGCAAAGCGTAAAAACGGTAAGATCAGTAATGAATATGCATTTAGTGCATGGCAGCAAAGCATGAACTAGACAATGAACAGAACAATGCTGGTTCTGGCAGAAAAGGGAACACGTAATATCGTCATATGCGGTATCCGTGACAACGAGGACGACGAAGACCACAACAACAACATCATCAACAACAACACAAACAATAACTGACAACAAACACAACTACAACCACCCAACCCCTCAAACACAACCACAACCAAAACAGCCATCACAGCAACAGCAGCAACAACAACCACAGCACCACCTGTAACAGCAACAACAGCAAACAACTGCAGTCACAACCACCCCAATAAGCCAAGCGCCCGATGAATGGTTTGCATGCGGCGCCGACGGCCGCCTCCATCGCCGCTTCAAGCTTGTTGAGCCGCGCCCAAACCCAGCCGCAGGTCCAGCAAACCCATTTCGGTGCTGGCGTTGGCACCCAGATGACTTTGTGCGATGTGTTTTGCACAAACTTCAAAGGTGAGAGTGCAACTCAGGGCCGGCAAAGAAGTTTCATCGGCCCCCGCGTCTCACAAGAGTTTCTCCAAACTCTTCACGCTGCGCTTGCCTGGCTTGTGGAGCTCTCGCAAAGCCACCTCGAAGTGAACTGGATGGCTTGATAGGGACTCTGGTAGTGTGGTCCACCTTCCTTCGTGCGGCTTTCAGGACGGTGACATCATACTCCTTACGGTCCTTACTTTCGTCTGCGACGGAGATCTGGATGACGTCTTGAGCATCCAGCCGAGAAGCTTTAACACTGCAAGTGGCACTGTTGCGACGCCATCTTTCTCAAGCACTTCCACATTCTGGAAGCCAACGGACGTCATGAAAGCAGAAACATCTTCCAACAACAATCCGCGGGGCATGCCCTCGACTATCCATCTGGATGTTGAGCCATCCGCGGTTTTCTCACTAGCTGGCACTCTGTAGCCGATTTGGCGGCGGCCACACACAAGGCAACGACCACCTGCAAAGGCTTTCGCTTTCGTTGCATATGCATCCCATGTTTGTTGGGCAGTTTCATTCCAAGTGACCCAATTCACTGCTATGCTGGGTTCTGCGGGTCCTAACTGCTCTACAAACGAACGCATGTCGTTTTGCTTAGTGCCTGAGTTGCGCAACCGCGCTTCAGCGACCTTTCCGCTTTGAACCCCCATCAATCCTCGCCATGCATCCATGCGGCCGTGTGCAGTGAAGGGAGTGGCTTGCAGACACCAATATCTAGCGGCTCTAGCGAATCTTATTGCATTCTTTTTCAGCTTTTCGCATTGCTCACCTTGAAACCTGACATCGGCGATGAACCTGTTGGGCTGCCGAGTTTGCGTGCTGACCCTGAAAGCGCCTTCTTTCCGCGTAGCAACAGGCTTTTGCTCACCAAACATGCGGATCCAACCCTTGCGTGGCTGAAGGCGGGCGCCAAGCGTGCCCGGTACACGATTGTAGGTGGCCTGCTTGGTCCATGCTGCCTTCAAGTCGCCATGGCCTTGAAGAAAAACAAGGCAACTGGCTGACCTGCCGCCCTGCGTTTTGGCACATTCCGAAAATCCGAAAGTATTGTAATTTAGGGCATTTTGGCTCCTAGGGGCAATTTTGGGAGGTTAGCCAAGTTAGCCGAAAAACATGACCAAAAGATGGTTGGCACATGGATGCTTTGTGGAACGGACGGAGTCTTTGTGGACGTTAGATAACATGGTTGTCACATGGATGCTTTTTATGGGAAGGGACGGAGTCATTGTGGACGTTGACATGGTTGGCACATGGATGCTTTGTGGGAGCGGACGGAGTCTGCGTGGACCTTATCATGTTTGGACCATGGATGCTCTTCGGGAACGGATGGGGTCTGAGTGGACGTTGTCATGGTTGGCCCATGGATGCTCTGCGGGTACGGATGAGGTCTTAGTGGACGTTATCATGGTTGGCCCATGGATGCTCTGTGGGAACGGACGGAGTCTGCGTGGACGTTAACATGGTTGCGACATACATCCTCTGTGGGAACGGACGGAGTCTGCGTGGACGTTATCATGGTTGGCTCATGGATACTCTGCGAAACGACGAGTTTCTCCCAAAGGACAGAATCAGCAACACAAAAACCGCAAATAACCCTTAAAAATGTAGTCAAAATGGCCCTTCCAGCATAAAACGTGCTAAAAACAACACAATCTCGAGTTTTGGACCTGGAAAGAGCACAACCCTGGCACAGCAATATGTCAGGAGGGTCAGGCCGGACCAAATGTGGCAATCTCGATGCGAGCGTCCCTAGCGCAATAAGGAAACCAAGAACAAAACAGTTTCATAGCGAGAGACCGGCTAGATCTGGTTGGGATTGAGCGCAGATGCGCTCTTGGGCGCTTCACTTCATCAAGAAGCGAGCGCTCTTGTTGCACGCGGCCATGCCGATGAGAGCTGGCTCGCTTTTAGATTTCCGCGGCACCTGGAAAAACACACAGTCTAGCAATCTTGCACAGTCAGATGGATTGGAAACCCAAAGCTTACCTTCACGGTACTGGGTTTTGCAGAACACGCCCGGTACTCTTGGAGGTCGGTCGTCCAACCGTTTTTGGGCGGCTTGAAGACCTGACAAAAAACAAACGGACCAACGGCAACCGAAATCGCAACGCAAGCAAAATCAACAAAAAAGCAAGAACGAGCAAACAAACCAGGGAAGAAATGTTCAAAAACCCGAGGAAAACGCACGCTGCAGACAAAAACCTCGAAACAGCGAGAACGAAAATAGCCCCAAGAAGGGTGTCCGGGCGGCGTGTCAGCCAGTTTGCAAAAACAACTGATTTGACCCCCACCTCACTTTGAAGAGGACCGATGGCCTCCTCAGCAACATCGCGACCATCTGTACTGAAGACAACTCTTTTGCCAGATTTGGCATCCAGTTCATTGTTAAGCTGTTCGGTTGAGGCAACAGGCCCGACAGCATCGGGACCCCAATCCCCAATCATGGAGCCTGATGCCCGCCATTGCAGGTGTCGCCATGCTGACGAATCTTTGAGCGACGCAGCATGCGCCTTGTTCCAGCGTCGATGCGCTCCGTGAGTATATAGAGCCACCAGTCGCCGGCGAAGTCCACCATGTTGAATCAGGTCGCGAGGATTGACGCCAGCGCTTGCCACCCATCGTTGGCCACGAGCTCGGCATAGTTGCATGTTGAGGCGCCGACGGCGCCGCCCCGACTTTCCACGCTCACTCGGGCTGCACCGAGAGACCATGCGTGCCGACGTAGGAACCAAGGATCTCAGCTCCACGGGCAAAGTCTGCACGACTACAATGTGCAAATTGCGTCTTCTCAGCGTTGTGCTCCAGCAGGCGAAAGTCAGTAGACTGCCGCACCAATCGGTCCTCATGGCCTGCCTGCCGATGTTGGCACCCATGATGATAGGAATGGCATACTTCACCGGTTGTGATTGGAATGCAGTAACCTGCCACGGGGTTGAACTGCACGGGACTTCAGTCCCCGTCGAGAGCCTGGGAAAAACCAGGCAAGGCCAGAGCCTAGGCTTAGATAAAACTTGAAGCAAATTGAAATAAAATGATCCAGCGACGTCGCTCACCAATCGAGCCACGGGGGCAGCAGCCGGGGCAACTGCTCACGGAGCCCAAAAGCGGCACTAGGAGGGCCAGCCAGACCCTCAAAAATCAGGCACGGTGGCCCCCAGCTCAGCAATGCAAATCCCAAGATGGCAAGAAGCGATTTGAATTTTGACTCTGACCTCAGGGTCAGGTGAAGCCGAGGTGCAAACCCAACCAGTCTTACAGGTGACCCTGGGGAGGAGACTAAACCAATTAGGGGCGAGACCTAACTCGGCAGTTATTTCATTTCTTTCGGCTTGCAAGC